AGGGGGGGAGACAAAGAGAGGGAGAGAAAGAGGGCGAGAGGGAGAAAGGGGAGAGAGAGAAAGGGAGGAAGAGGGAAAAAGAGGGAGAGAGGGGGGGAGACAAAGAGAGGGAGAGAAAGAGGGCGAGAGGGAGAAAGGGGAGAGAGAGAAAGGGAGGAAGAGGGAAAAAGAGGGAGAGAGGGGGAGAGAAAGAGAGAGGGAGAGAAAGAGGGCGAGAGGGAGAAAGGGGAGAGAGAGAAAGGGAGGAAGAGGGAAAAAGAGGGAGAGAGGGGGAGAGAAAGAGAGAGGGAGAGAAAGAGGGAGAAAGGAGAGAGAGAGAAAGGGAGGGAGGGGTTGATGGGGAGGAAAAGAGAGGGAGAGAAAGAGGGGGAGAGGGAGAAAGAGGAGAGAGAAAGGGAGGGAGAGGGAAAAAGAGAGGGGGAGAGGGAGGGGAGAGAATCACAGACGTTGTGATCCAGAGGAAATTTAAGAATGCTTAAGCCCAAACTATAGAAAAAAATGTTATGATTTTGCTTGACAGAGCCATGGTGGCACAGTGGCTAGAATGCAGAAAACTCTGCTCACAGCCAGAAGTTTGATCCTGACTAGCTCAAGGTCGACTCAGCCTTCCATCCTTCTGAGGTCGGTTAAATGAGGACCCAGATTGTAGGGGGCAATAGGCTGACTCTGCAAACCGCTTAGAAGGGGCTGTAAATCACTGTGAAGCAGTATATAAATCTAAGTGCTAGCGCTACTGAGAGGTGAAGCTAGTTTTAATGGCCTTGGGTGTCCTGAGTTGACTGGTCTTTCCTTAGGGAGATGAGTATTATCTTGTCTAATGTCAAGGCTCATCCCTGGAGGCCTTTTTCCCCTTCTCCTTTGATTGTTTCTCCAGTGACCCATCGATTGATTTCATGCATAAGGCGTACCATATTAAAACAATCATTATTCCAAATTGTAAATAAAACATCTGGAAAAGAAACATAAACATCTGGGGAACGAGCCCAAGCCTTTTAAAAAAGAACATCCCAAGAGGGTGCATCTACTTAGACCACAGGCTAGGGAAGAGCCAATTTTAAGAGCTCCTTGGAACAAGATGACAGAAGAGGGGGGCCAAATGACTCTCCAGGGGGATGTTGCCCCACAAAGCAGATGCTAAAAAGGCGAAGCCGTGCTTCCTAGTTTCCATCCGAGTACGCTATTTAATGAATGGGACAGGGACTCTTACAAAAGACAGATGTCCTTTCCATCACTCAGCCCTGTGTCATATTGGGCTTGGCGGTTGTGATGGATTCGATTCCTCACCAGTCTGGCTCTTGACACAGACAAAAATTTGGATGAGTTGCAGATTTCTTTTTGACCACTAGATGGCAAGAAAGAGAGCCAGGATGCTTTTTTTTTTTTTTAATGATGTTAAACATAAAAAATTCAATGTCTA